CGCACAGGATTCGTTCTTCTTGCCGGCGCTAGAATTAACACGTCCCGGGTCACGCCTACCGGTGATTCATAAGTACTATGCAATATTATGAGGCGCCGGTGATACTATTCCCAGTAGGCATAGGATATTGATTCTGGTTTTGTTAATACCCGTTGCAACCGGGCACCAGATACCGGGCACCCGGTCTAGTTGTTTGAGTTTGTGCGAGCTCGAAGTCGGGGGGGGGGGGGGTTGTGGTTGGCTTTGGAGGGCTAGTTTTTGCATGCCATTGGTGTTGGACATGGTTCAAGACGATTGGATAGCTCGGGATAGTTTAGGATGAGGTGCTTATAGCGCTATTTGCCGTTCACTCACAGAGTACGTGTAGTAACCAGAATTCTACCGTGTGCAGCTACGAATTTCCAGCAACCAACAGTATTGCTTACTGACTACGGTTACGGTGGCAAGAAACCTTTAGGGTTCGCGTTTTCCGAGTGTTAAATTCCCCTTGTGCTTACCAGTGCGGCCGATAGATATATTCGTCACGTGAGTCTGATAAGGAAATTTTGGTGGTTGGCAGTCTTGAACTAGCCCTAGTGCCTTCTAGCCCTATCATCCGCCAAGCCCAACATCAGGACACATGTCATTACACCACGTCTCTGTCAAACATTTCCCTCTAAATTTCCGCTTCTCCATTTACTCCCCGAATAATTGAAACCATCACGAACGGATATCTTCACTATGTCCGACGTCATGCAGGAAATCTATCATGAGTTGTGGGTAAGACAAAGAGTCATTGTCAAAAATGTCACCATCCCTGTACCTCAGCCGCACCTGGTCAGGCCAGAGCCCGGATACGGAGTCAATCCAGAGCAGGCTCTAACCGGGGACTTCCCCGACCCTTTGTTCACAAAAATGCTACAGGAACAAGAGTTCACAGTACTCAAGGCTGGGGCGATGCTTCCCTGTGGCACTGATTTGCTTCTCGTACGCTCCGAGTATGATAGGATAGAGCGTCTCTTGGTAGATTCGGAGTTGGGAAGATGGTCCGATGGCCCCGGACTCCTAGAACCGGGAGCCAACCTGGACCACAAGCTGTCTGGTCCATCCGGCTCAGGTATGTAGTAATTATCTGATCCATATCTGGTCCCTAGTCTGACCTATGAGAAGGAAAATCTGTTTTCCTTTCTTACCTCCTCGCGCGTAGGCTCTCTATGGGTCAGCCCACTGTTTACCGTGAGAATGACAGAAGGTGTTTTCTCTTCGACCAATACACCCCCGGGAAGCAAGTGAATGCAGATGCTCTATTCCGCCTTCCCATGGAGCAACAAAAACGGCTCTGGATTCTCACGTCTGATCCGCCTACTGATCCGCGCTGGAGTTATTCATGCGGTTGGTTTGTGGTCTTAGCAGACATACCGGAAGATATGAAATCTACTAGCCATAGCCAGTGGGAGACCGGGAGAAATGTTGGCATGCACTACATGAGCGATTGGCAATGGAGTGAAATATTCGCTGTTTTCAAGTATTAACCATGCCTACGTGTAGGGTGAGCAATAAGCTGACCCGGGCACTTTGTGATAGGTTATTGGGGCCAGATACTGCGACACCTAGTGAGATTGGGAATCTCTACACAACCTTCGTTTGTCTGGGCCCGGCGGCGAGGACATGCTTAATATCGATCCCTACCTCAATTGATGAAGGCTATAACCGTAGGCTTAGTGCTCATCTTCGGTCTGTGGATACCGATATACAGACCTTCCTTGCCCGCGGCGCCTATAAGAGCATCCTAGCTAGTCTCGCCAGGCCTCTCTCCCCCAATTCAGCTGTCATGGAACCTGCCGAACATGCATTGTTCTGCACGGCCGGAATTACCACCAGATGGCTAGCCCACCGGGTACTTATGGTAGCACTGGAGCAGTCCTCCCGAATAGGATTTGGGTTATTCCCTTATTTTTTACGCTATCAAGGACTGCAAAACATTAGTGGATGGATTTTCGAGGGGTGTGCCCAATATGTGCTCAGTCACGGAGGGTCCTTCAATGCCAGCGAAATTCCTATCGCAAACAATAACTCTCTGCCACTCAAATTCGCGATACAAAAAAATCAATCCACCTGCCCTCATTATTTTGCCAGTGCAGGCCACCTAGCCCAACAGGTTCAGGATAGGTATCGTGGTGGTCTTGCACCAGATACTGTAGGAAAATATTTCCTGCCGTACAGCCGGAGGCCGGAGTCTATTGATGGGCTAGTTTTTAGTCATCCGGACACCTTGATTATATTCCGGATTACGATCGCTGGCACTCTCACAATCGATTTCCAAGAGATACTAGACCTCTCCCGTGCATTGCCGGCTACCATCCGTCGGATACGTGTTGTCTTTGTTGTCCCGCAAGCTCACACCAGACCTGACGTCACGCTCATTTGCAACTCCGAGGCCCCTGCCATTATTCCACCAGTCAGCGGTTCAGCCATTGGGCTGTTTCAGCTAGTCTGTACGTATGGTGACATGCAAGCGGCGGTTGTGCATAGACCATTCATCTGAATGGATGGCGGTTGTAGCGGGTGTGGGGGAAGGGGCGGAGACTGGGATGTGGGGGATGTTGCGAGGACTGGTATACTGTGGGGTGTGGGATAGGGTACACAGGATTTGTGGGTGGTGGATCCAATGGGCATCGGGGGCACGGGTTGACTGCTTGTTCATGATATTGATCAATTTCATCTGGCATGTGGTTAGAAGTCCAAAGGGGTATCATGACAATTAGACAACTGACCTTGAACATTGTATGGAAGCCCCCTAGTGAGCCTGGTATTACTCACACAGGAGTTGATAAACATAAGTGACAACTCTTTTAGGCTTTTGATTGGGATTTTTTGCGATACCAGGGCTTGCCACCTGGACGACCCAACCCGGCCCAAACCCCCGGCGTCCCGGCCCGGGCCCAATTGCGAGGCTTGTCGGAAACCTAGGTACCCCGGGAGGTGGATTTGAGCACAAGGCTGTATCCACGTCTACAAATACACCAAGTTATTTTTGGGCACAAATATCCGGTACTCAATCTGAGTACCCAAGTTCCCGGCATAGCTACCGACGCGACATTGCACCCGACATGACGTCAACCCATAGGAAGTCACGCTATTCTTGAGACCCAGGGTTGCAGTCAAGTACGAACTATACCATCCCTGGCCCCAAGTACCGCCAGTATCCTCCCGGGGCACTTTGTATTTGTTTCCTCCTATGGTCCACCCAATTTTATTGCCGTAAACACAGCGCTATCCTGCAACTTGTATATTCCTCCCACCATCTTCCTCGTTGAGCTATCGGAAAAGATAGCAACTGTTCGCGTGATTTCGCCCGCTTAGATGAGAACAATACTGCTTGTTCTTGAACAGGAATGCAAACACCTTGTATAGCTTGAGCAGGTAGCCGCCCATAGTGACCCATACACCCCTGCCACCCCCTGCATTGCCTTACTCACCCCTCTTTGCCAAGAATACCCCCGTGGGCCGAAAATTTGGTAAGGACTTCAGCAAAATATCGGCTGGCGGAGGTATTCCTGGCAAAGATGAGTGAGTAAGGTCACCCGTAGTCCTTGATTATCTCCTGCAGCTGCCTATATCTATCTTGTGGCATGAAGGTCTTACCTCATAGGGCCACCCGTCTAACCCAAAGACTCCAGACTTGCAAAATTACCGCCTTAGCCGGATCACTATATGCTGCATTGTCTTTTCTGGAGAACAAGCTTTTTTTTGACGGCTTGGGCGATTGTGAACAGTGATCTCCAGCTTTCACGTTACCTAGCAACTTTATCCTTATCACTCATGATCTATCATAACCGTTATCCATCTTTGATTATGCATGCCCTAACAATCCTTTCATCCCTGATTGCACATTGAGCCCATTATTATTACACTTCTACTATTACATCCATTTGTCCTTTCCATCAAACTTCTTTAAGTTTGCTCCAGTCAGCTTAATTTACCCAACATGATCCTGATAATGGGATCTTGTAATCAGGGTTCCGAATGGTCGGCGATGGACTAGACTGGACTAGGTAGTCTGGTCAAAATTCGGTCTAGTCCCATGAGAGATTTGAGACTGACCGGGCAGTCAAGCTGCAAGACCGAACTGGTTTGGGATTGGTCAGACCGAGGGGACCGAGTGATAAAATGTGCACGGCCCTTACGCAAAACCTCAGCTGTTATGGTAGTGTATCTTTGAGTTTCGCCCAACCTGTCTGAAAGTAGATGTTTGTTTTGAATTTGTGGGGGACCGAGTTAGCCTATGGTGGAATGTCCTAGTACTAGAGGTGGAGAAATTGATATAAAAGGCATCTATGGTGATATGAGGAGAATATTGTTTTCCCTATCCAAAGCCAAGTTTGGTAACATTTCCTACGTTTGTTTCGCTTCCCTGGTTTTTTCATTGTGGGAGAGGCTGATTCTCAATTGTTTTAACATATGGTGGTAGTCGGTTCTTAACAGTTCTATTTTCACTATATCTCATCAAATAATAGGAGTCAGACTACTCTCAGATCCTGTCTTTCCGACTGGTCAGAAACTAGTCTAGACCAGACCGGACTGTGTCAGGTAGTCAAGTCCAGTCCGCATGATCGATCGGGATTGAAGGTCCAGTCAAGCCCCCAAGACCAGACCGGTCCGACCATTGGGAACGCTGCTTGTAATATTGAATTGCAGCTCACCTCTTTTAAACTTGGTGTTGATGGTGTCACTCATCCGATCTCCATCATCCTGGCATCAGGGTCCTTCACACCGGTTCCTGATCCTCCGATATCCCATCCACCCTCAACTCCAGTCACTTACCCACCAATATCCTGCCCACCCTCAACACTCATCCCGGACCCCCAAATATCCCACCCTCCCTCTCCATCCATCACTGATCCCGTAATATCACATTTACCTGTACCTAGGGCACGCATTGCAGCCTCACAAAACACTAGTCGGAACTGCCTAATGATCTGGCGTTCTGCTCCACCCTCCGGAAATTCCCGCAATTCTCATGCACTAGGGACCCTCTGTCCCTTAGTATAGCTCCTTATACGTTCTCTCGGAATCACAAACACTATGTGGAGATTCTTGATCCCAGCTGGTAGCACCTGCAAGAGGGCCTGGATCCCATGCTGTTTGATGTCATGAGTCGCAGCGATAGTGATTTGAAAAATAATTAATGCATTGGGTTCAGAAACCATTGGTCTATTGACATACTCGAAATTTCAGCCACATAGTAGAAAGAATTTTCCAATACCAGAGGTCTCAATATCTCTGCTGCCTGGAGCCCAAGCCTGCCTGCCTAAGTCCGTCGCATCTGTGAAATTGTTAGTGGATATGGATTTTGATCTATTAATTGTAAATCCCAAGTCTATCATGGGCTTGGGATACTCACCAATTTTCTTAGCGACAAAGGGACCCCCATGTTGAAACTATTCATGTGAATACCCTTCGGATATCTACCCTACAGCGGTGCTGAGTGGTCGCTACCATGAGATGTTTTGGTATAAACCATAGAAGCTCAGCTTGGCAGCCTGCTTCGCCGATTGAAAAATGCAGAAGCTAATCAGTCTTGTTGCTATCAGCAATTGAGAGAATTCTCTGTTATTTATTGGTTCCAAAATACTTAGTTTGGCTAATGCTTTGTCCATCACAGGGTCATCTAAATCGCTATATTCACCTGATGAAATAAATGCCCCGACACCCTCATTCACCACGTGGAAATAACTTCTCAGGCTCCACTCATATGCTTGGTCATTTGTTATTGATATCTCCTGCAAGCAAGTTCTTGCAACTGGGCCAAAAGCAGCACATACCGCGTAAAGCTTCTCCTTCTCGCTCTGACTCGCTTGCTTCGCCTTGTATAAAGTATGATAGTACGAACTAGTTAGCAGGTAAATTAAATATACAAGCATTTCCATGCAAATAATTAGCACCTCTTTTAGAATATTCCCCTCAAAGGCTTATACAGTTTAGCCTTTGAGTCTAATCAAAACTCTATTACCGGTGATACAAACTCAATGCCAGATATTGAGCTGGAGTCGCAGTTGCCAAGGCAGTAGCAGAGTGCAATCCCTCACCCCGAAGAGCAGCCCCAACACTATCCTCTCAGCAGCCGTGTGGAGGCTATTCCAAAGAGGTGCCAAATCTTGGCATGGAGACACAAGTTGGAGAAGGGGATCACTACAAGAACATGGCAAAAATTTCATTCCATTTCTAGTGACTCATGTAACAAACTGTAGCATTCCGCTCACTCCTCCACAAATCTTAATTGGCTACCTGGCTCGGCCGTGCCGCCAGTACCACAAACCACAAATTACAATTCTGACACCAACCTGGATCAGTCATTTCGTTACTAGTAAGTATCCAGAGGTTCTGTTGTTTCTCCAGTGGAAGGTTAAACAGGAACATGGCATCTAATTGCTAACCAGCCACCTGCTGGCTAAAGAGAAATCACTTGTGATCATTCTCCCTATAAACTATTGGCTTGCCCATAATGAGGCAATGCACTAACAAGTATGAAAGAAAATATGATTTTCCTTACTCACTGTTAGAAAAGAGTAGAACAATAGCATATATGGATACAGTATACCTATACTGGATTGACCAACAATGACATAATCATGTTCGGCTCCCCACTTCGTTAGTCCTGTAACTGAGAACCATTTTTGCAACTCCGCTTTCTCTAAGTCCTGCTTAATCTGCATGTACTCTGAGCGCACAAGAAGTACATTCCATCTACAAGGAAGTCAAGCCCGAACCCTCAGTGCTCTAAAATCCTGAACCACAGGATTTTCTACAAAACTTGGCACAGGAAGTCCTTCATCTATTACTTGTTGGAGGCTAAAGGGATCTCCAGGAACGAGGGTTTGTTATGGCTGCGGAACCCCGATGCGGAAACGGTGCAGTATTTCGGTTCCCCTTCCGCATAACTCGTAATACACATCTTCCATCATGTTTAAAAATATATATATTGACCTAACTGAGAATTCTAAGGGGGGCGGAGGTGTTTGCCGGACAGGGAAATGTGAGAGGATGCCAGTTTGTGTGTATCCTGTGTGGAAAAATGGCCACGCGGCAAGCCCCAAGCACGCGAGAGAAAACCGGGACTGGAACCATCAAGCCAAGCCTATGTGATGGGATTCGTGCCTGTCTTTTCATGTTTGACCCGCAGTATATCTGCGGGGGGTCTATAAATGAC